CTGATTATTTGGTAAAACCTATGTATTACTGCACTTGTCAGAAAAAAAGGGTTCCTCAAGGGTTCTTTGCACACTTGCTAGTTTTCTGTAATGTTCCTCCAGAGGGACAGCGTAAACCTCTCGTTATGGTGCTCGACGAATTTTCTCATTCATGTTTACAATTAGTCAATTACCCGATACTCTCATCCAGAGCAACTTAGAGAACATGCAAGCAGGTACATGCACGGCGAGAGGGAAAGGCACAGCAAAAAGCACAGCGACAGGTACATGCACAGTGAAAAGCACAGCGACAGGTACATGCACAGAGAAAAGCACAGCGACAGGTACATGCACAGTGAAAAGCACAGCGACAGGTACATGCACAGAGAAAAGCACAGCGACAGGTACATGCACAGAGAAAAGCACAGAGAAAGGCACAGCGACAGGTACATGCACAGAGAAAAGCACAGCGACAGGTATATGCACAGTGAAAGGCACAGCGACAGGTACGTGCACAGAGAAAGGCACAGCGACAGTGAAAGGAACAGTGACAGGTACGTGCACAGTGAAAGGCACAGTAAAAGGCACAGCGACAGGTACGTGCACAGTGAAGGGCACAGAGAAAGGCACAGCGACAGGTACATGCACAGAGAAAAGCACAGCGACAGATATATGCACAGTGAAAAGCACAGCGACAGGTACGTGCACAGAGAAAGGCACAGCGACAGTGAAAGGAACAGTGACAGGTACGTGCACAGTGAAAGGCACAGTAAAAGGCACAGCGACAGGTACATGCACAGTGAAGGGCACAGCGGCAGGTACACGGACAGAGAAAGGCACAGCAACAGGTATATGCACAGAGAAAAGCACAGCGACAGGTATGTGCACAGAGAAAAGCACAGCGACAGGTACATGCACAGAGAAAAGCACAGCGACAGGTATATGCACAGGGAAAGGCACAGCGACAGGTACATGCACAGAGAAAAGCACAGCGACAGGTACATGCACAGAGAAAAGCACAGCGACAGGTATATGCACAG